ATTCTGAATTCCAACAAGATTATTGCATAAATTCAGAAAATCAAATCCTTATAAAAATCTATGAAACGTTCTAATTATAAAAAATCGAGTCTTATCATGATAACTAGAAATTCTTGTTTGATTTAACCAAAATGCCTTCAATCATATACGTTTGTTGATACAACCAAGCGATTTTTCTCAGTGCAGAAATATTATTTTTTTACCCTAATAATATCTAATAATATCTTATAGTAATATCTTGATAACTTTAATTATCTGGCCTTTGCATGTGCATTTTCCCGAACGTATTTTTTCGCAATTAATGCACTGAAAAAATCTGGCTGCATTAATTAGAATTCTGGTAGATTCAACCAGTATGTTGGAAAATGGACGAACCAGAATTCTTGCAGGAATTACCAGATGAATCTGATTAATTTCTTCCTGTTAAATTTATCAAATTTTCTGATTAATAATACTAAATTCTCCAGCATCAAGTCTAAAATTTTTTCCATCTAATCTCAAAAGTCTGTTTAATATTCTCAATTCCAACACGGTTGTTGCTTAAATTCAATCCAGATTATTGAATAAATTATTTTAAATTCAGTTTGTTAGAAATTAAACTGATAAATAGTGACACAGAAAAGAACGCAGCTCAAATACACAATCAAGGAGCTAGTATCCTCTTTCTGGCACTACTGCTCGTAAGAGAAAAAAATATATTTTGGATTTAATGTTAATACTAGTTTTTTATATACATTTCATGGCAAATATTGAATACGAATTAAGTTAAGAAGCAAGCAAAGAAATTAATGTAACAAGAAATTTTATAGATTCCAACCAGAAAATACTAACCAAATCCTTACAGTAAAATTTATGAAACGTTCTAGTTATAAAAAATATAAATATTTATAAAAAATAATATTTAAAAAAAATTGAGTCTATCATGATAACTAGAAATTCTTGTTTGATTTAACCAAAATGCCTTCAATCAAATACGTCTTGTTGGTACAATTAAATGATATTTCTCAATGTGCATATAAAAAGTATGACGCGATAAAAAAAATATCATACACAAGCCGCAAACACTCTGTCCAGATTATTTCATTAATCGTTTATACCACCGATCTATCGTTTCCCTCCTCTTCCTCTTCCAAACAATTCGGCCAACTGACCTTTGTGGTCTTCCCGCCGCGGTGTCGTAAATACGAGTAGATTGAGTAATTCGCCGACAATTGCTCCCCTCGCGTCCCGCGTTTGGTTGTGCGAGAAATATTAATACATTCTACTTCCTTCCGGGGAGGGGACAACCCGGTGACGGTTGTCCCCCTTCGCGACACACCGGATCCGTCCTGACTCGTTTACTCGATACATGCGGTGGCGTGCGTACGTAAACACGCGTGACAGGGGCGAAACCTAACACACACACACACATATACTCGTCATCTATCCGCTCTTGCGGTCACGCGTACTTTGGAACGCGTGGTTCAACGCGTGCGAGAGGATACAATTAGCGACCATCACACGCCGCAACGAGTTACACACAATACAATAGGAGGATGGATGCCCCGCGAAATTGCTTACGGTCTATATACGGTGGTCGGTGGTTTCGTTCCGTTCGGAGACGAGAGAGAAACGTCGAACTGTGTGCAAATCATTGTAGATCGCGATTGCAAAATTGACTCTCCTTGACTCTCGACGGATGCATTAATTTTTTTTCTACGTTCCTTTGTGTGTAAATGTCTATTTTAAACGATCCAATTCATGCCTGGTTGCTTTTATAGACTAAAATGATTTTCGCGAAATTAACGAATAAATATATTATTGCGATCCTCTCGTATCTCGTTAAGAGATCTTTTGCTACGCAAACGAATTAAAATGGGATAGGAAATAGTGCGGCGTTTAAGCGTTCAGTTTTATATGAATAATAATAAAAGAATTATAATTATAAGATTTGCATGTATAATATACGTTACTCTTTCACAACATCCTTATCAAGATCGTTCTCTTTTCAAAGTTCTGTCAGTAATTATTAAAATGTACATCTAATAGAAAAATGTATTAATTTCCATTTAATTCCAATTATACATTATAACAGATAATAAATAAAACTAATTGATATATTAATAGTTTAATAACATATTGATAAGTAAAATATATTCTTATTGCAATCATTTCTAATTATCACAGCAAAAATTAAAAAAGAAGTTATTAATATAATTATTATTTTATTATAATTATTATTTTATTCCTTTTTGCTCGCATTCGAAGAAGCACTATCGATGACTGAAATCAAGGGCGGAAGTTCTTAGCGATAATTATGAACCTTCGATGTCGGACGTGACATTTGAGCACGTAAATTGAGATAGAGATTTTCATTCGTCGAACCTCCTACGTCTTTTGTTGACTCGACTTTCATAATCAACATAATCGCCATTTTTCACAATCACACTGAGGGAAAAATTTTTTTAAATCAAATAAATTTGTTTTCTTGAAACTTGTACTTTAAATGGAAGAATTAATTTTAATTAAATATGCATGTTATATTAAGTACATTATTTTCATTTATATATTTTTTATATTTAAATACTATTTTCGTAAAATATATATAATTTATTAAATTAAATATATTATTTTTTTAAATCAAAAAATTTTAAATTTTTGACAAAATGAAATACATTTTAATAAATATTTTGTAAAATTAAAATAAAAATATTTAATTAAAAATTATATTTTTTTAAGCATATATATTTTTTTAAACATATGTAAATAAATACTTAACTTCAGCAAACTGACGTTTTGAAGTAAATACGTGATTAGTACCCATCGAATAAATAGCTTTCTTGAGTTAACTAAAATTTTTTTATTTCAAGATAATTTTTTCCTCAGTGCAATTATGTGAGAACGAACGTGCTTAAATTTATCTCCCGCTTCCGGCCACACATGAAATACATGGCAACAGATTTTTCGAGCTACGCGTTGAAGTTTCCGCAGAAAATAAGCTCTCTCTAAAAGACAGATAATATTGAATACACAAGAAAATTTATAAATTTTAAATAATTTTAAATAATACACGAGATAATTTTTATTTTCGGATTATATATTATATACTGAGAAAAATAGTTTGATTGTACCAACAAGACGTATGATTGGAGGCATTTTAGTTAAATCAAACAAGAATTTCTAGTTATTATGATAAGACTCGATTTTTTATTATAACTAGAACGTTTCATAGATTTTACTATAAGGATTTAGTTAGTATTTTCTGATTGATCTATCAAATTTCTTGTTACATTAATTTCTTTGCTTGCTTCTTAACTCGTATTTAATATTTGCCATGAAATGTATATAAAGAATTAGTATTAACATTACATCCAAAGTATATCTTTTTTCTCTTACGAGCAGTAGTGCCAGAAAGAGGATACTAGCTCTCTGATTGTGTGTGTTTCAGCTGCATCCTCTTTTTGCATCACTATTTATCAGTTTAATTTCTAACAAGCTGAACTTAAAATAATTTATTCAATAATCTGGATTGAATTTATGCAATAATCATGTTGAAATTCAGAATATTAAACAGACTTTTGAGATTAGATGGAAAAAATTTTAGACGACTTGGTGCTGGAGAATTTAGTATTATTAACCAGAAAATTTGATAAATTTAACAGGAAGAAATTAATCAGATTCATCTGTTAATTCCTGAAGAAAGAACAAGAATTCTGATTCGTCCATTTCCCAACAAATATACAGGTTGAATCTGAATCTACCAGAATTCTAATTAATGCAACGAGATTTTGTTCTCAGCGTAGAAGTAGTATTTTTAAGTTAACCTTGAATCTTGAAGGATTTTTTTATTTTAAATAGTTCCACATTTTTACAAATGTAGAATTTCCAAAATTATTTGGATCATTTACGTCTCAGAGTTAATAAGAAAGATTTTTTTTATTAATTATCTCTCTCTCTCTCTCTCTCTCTCTCTCTCTCTCTTTTTCATGCTGTAAGACTTACATGAAGCTTGAAATGACTTCCTCGTAGATAACGGAAAGAAATTGCGCGTTTAGGGATTAGAACGGCTTTCCCAGGATTGTATCTCGCAGGTTATATTGCCGGCGAATATCTAATTTTATATCATTAACATAGGCTTGATAGATGAGTCTCGTGATTAACATACGCGTTTCCCATGCGTAATACATGATTTTCGTCATGTTTATATATTCTTAACGATTATGATGGACTAGCGGCGAGCGCAGGATGGAAAACCGCTGCAATTACCAGTCATCATCTCTTAGATAGTAAGCGGAAGCGGTGGTTTTATCCGATTTACACGAGTCCGTGGAAACGGACGGCGATTTCGCAAAAGCCCGGGAGCCGCGATCGCAATTGCAAATGAACGAGCGTACGGTTGGCGTATGGCCGAGTAAGAGTGATATCTTTCAGTGAAATCATCGATGATGACGATGACAGGAAACCGCACGCTACTTTCGATTCTTCTTCGCCCTCGGGCTAAGCAGATGCTAAAGCGGAGAACGTGATAGTTTTATTGGCCGCCTCGAGAGGACTGACCACGTGGATAAATCACACGAAGCCGAAAATTGAGTTATTATAATATTATTATAATAATTCATATAATTAAAATAATTAATATAAAAATAATTAATATAATAATAATTAATTTAATATAATAATATAATAATAATATAATAATATATAATAATATAATAATAATTAATTATTATAAAAATAATTAATATTATTATAATATTATTATATATTAATAATTATTTATAATATTATTATTATAATATTATTATAATATTATCATCAAACGACACACGAATATAATATAAATATTTTAATGATACAAATAGGAGAAATTTTTTTCTTTCAACGAGATTATTTCAAAGTTATATTAAATTAATCTATTTAGCAGCAAGATAAATAGGGAAGAGGAACGCGATTTGTTTGGGATTTTTGTCGATAATTATAATCGTAATCTTTGATATTAAATGAATCTATGTGTGTTTCAGGTGATTACTAACGGTCTCAAGTGCGACTCGGACGACGTCGACGGTTTGACAAACGGTGAGTCACTTGATATAACATTTTTTCTTTCTTTCTTTTCTGTTCACTTCTTTCTTTTCCTCCTTATTCATTCCTTCGTAAAGAGACACAATCAACGAGATTAAATGGTATTATTTGATACACTTGGCGGTGCCTTAGTTTCATTGACGAATTCCGTTCATATAGAGGGACCGATGTGTGTGAAACAGTTCAGGATTATACGAAGGCTAAGCCTCTTCGATTCTTATTAATAGATAATAAGAATTCTTATACTAAATAATTAATTAAAAATTATTCTTATATTAAATATAATTAAAAATAAATCTTATATTTAAATATAATTAAAAATATTGTAAATCTGAACAAGTATCAATTATTTAATTATTTGTTTTAAATATATTTACTAATATATATGATTATATATTTTTTAATAATTAATAATTCTTCAAAGATGAAAAATGCGAATTAAATAATATAATAAATAATATAAAGTATCAGTTTTAAATTTCCTTCATTAATTTCATTTTTCGTTTTACTTAAATATTACTAACATTCACAATTTAACATTCTTAGTTTCTTACTAATGTTATAGCTCTCTCAGTACATTAAGTATATATATTCATAAAGTTAAAAGTTGATGTAAAGTTAAAAGTTAAAAATTAAATGACTAAGTTTTTAAGTTTTTAAGCTTGCAAGATTTTAAGTTGTAGAGCTTTTGAGTTTTCAAGTTTTTAGATTTTGATGTTTTTATGTTTTAGTTTTAGTTTTACGTTCTAAAATTTTAAAGATTTTAAAAATTAAAGTTAAAGAAAAGTTAAAGTTTAAATTTAAGTTTCATGATTTCAAGATTTTAAAGATTTAAAGATACAAAGGAATAAAGACTGAGTTTAGAATTTACAGTTTAATCGCATGATAAAATAACATAACATGAAATAAAATAAAATGAGTATAAATATAAGTATATATATTGCAAAGATCGATGCATTGAACAAGAAGTCTATCCTAAGCCTAAGAAAGGCAAGGATTAATGAATAAGAAATAATAATAATAAGTATATATATTCCATAAAAATTTTTTATCATCTCTAGACTGAATCTTAAAAGCATATTAAATATATATATATTAAATATATAAATTGCTGTAAAAGAACGCGTATTTTATCTACGAGAGAAACGCTGTGACATTGCTATAACTTTATATTATCGTTTTAATTGAATTCTAATTTTCGAAGCATTTCGCATTTGCTGGAAATTTATGGTCCCGGTTTTTTTATAACTCTGGTTGATTTATAGCTAGGATTTTTCCTCGTAAATCAAACGCGTATCGTATCGGTATTTTTATGCATCTATGACGCGTGTGAAATTAATTGCGTCGCGTTAATTATATTTTAATAAAAGCACAGCTATTTTTAATCGATAATTACGTCGCTTGAAACATGTGCGTTGATAATAGATATCTCTCTTATCTTAGAAAAGACTTCCAAATATATTCGCTCGAATCTTGTAAATAAAAGAGAGATTCGATTATTTTTTTAATACAAATATATTTATCTTTTCTTATAAAGTTAATGAAGTTTAAATATAATTTTTAAGATTATGTTGTTGTGTCTTTTATACATAAATGATATATGTATTTTTTTCTGATAATGCTATATTAACGTCGATACAATTCTTTTATCGAAAAATATTTTTAAAAAATGTGTCTCGTCAAGTATATCTGTTACGTCAAAAATAGATTTGTAAAATCAAACATACTGATAACGTATTTATATTAATTATGATGTCTATATCAAGATTATTTTATAAACAATACAATTATATATAAATAATACATAAAAGAACCAGTTGTGGATATAAGACAAAACATTTATTAAAAATTTCATTAAAAATTGTAAAGAAAATTATAATAAATGACATATCTTGAACAAGATCCTGGACAAGATCATGAACAAACAATTGTCATTGAATATCATAGATAAATTACACGCTTCTCAAATTTCTCTCTTGAGTCATCATCTTGAGCCATACGATATTTCATGGATATTTGCTTAAGAATGCTTTCTATGCACAATTCTGCAATTCTGATCTATACTGTTTTTTCTTTCATATCGTGCCTTTAAATTTTTATTCGCTTATATAACACATAGCACACGGATTTTCTCGGATAATAATACAGATGAAGATTCCGCTCACGTGTTTGGCTCTTTTGGGGAAAAGGAGAAAGTGCCTTTTTCGCCCTAAAAATAATCGTGACATAATTCGCCATCCTCGTCTTCGGCGAGGTTGCGACGGCCCTGACTTTGCCCTTTAGTCACTATCATTCCGACGAGTGCGAGCGAGCGAGCAAACGAGCGTGTGCCTTGCAACGATGACGATCCGGCCGCATTTTCTCACGCTACTTCAGCTGCTCCTTGCCGGTGCAATGATCTCCCTTTCGTGGCCGCACATCTGCCTGAAAATTACGTTCCGGGCCGGCTTACGCGCATTTCATCCCCTTCCCCCCGCCTCGCTTCCCCGCGCACACGACTCGTTAATTCGAGATTCACCGCGTCATCCGCATATCTCTCCGAACAGGACGCTCCCCACCACTCTACTTCTCTCTTCCCCCTTTTTTCTCTCTCGGAAGATTAATCCTTTGATGTAGTTCGGAAGTTAAAATGACCCCCCTTGCTCCTATAATTTTCCTATCGGCCCGTGCACGATTCATATAATATCGAACTTCATTAATTTGGAGTAAATTATTTTTCCAAAGAGATATCTTTGACGATATTTTTTTTAAACAACGAACTATTGGAAATGAAATTTTCTTAATTAATTAGCGTCCCGAGATTTAAAAATAGATAATAAAATTTTACTTTATTTAATTAAATAATAAGACTCGGTCAAGATGCATAGTTGTCGACCTTAAGGATGCTTTGCATGTACAATCCAAGCAAAAAGTAGCTGAAAATCAATGACGAATATATCCACTTTTGGTGTATTTTGAGTATGAGAAATTGTGTGGAATATTGCAATTTGATCTTAGCTACAGCGCAGAAATGTATTTTTTAATATTTATTGCGTTTTTACTGAAATATTCCGAATTTTATTAATGGAATGATTAACTTTTGGCAGAGAATTTCGTCTTGTGACAGATACATGGCTAACTTCATCGAATTATATTTAATATCTTTTTAACCAGTTAGTACTTGTATAATATTATTTGACCAAATATTTCCTCTGTATCTAAACTTTTGCAAATTTTAAACAAATTCTGAATATTATTTCTATGTGTTTTTGTCATTTGAATCGACGTGGTTATACGTTTCCCATAAGAACACATGTTAATTCGGTGCAAATTAAAATCCTTATAACTTGTGAACGCTTTAGTGCATCGATTTAAAAATTGTACTGAAGATTCTAAACATATGTAAGGACATTCTGTACAATTTTCATTAAATTCTCAATATTTTGAAAATAGATACAAAACATCCTTAATCGAAATGATCAACTTTTGGCAGAGAATTTCGCCTTGTGACAGATACATGGCTAACTTCATCGAATTATATTTAATATCTTTTTAACCAGTTAGTACTTGTATAATATTATTTGACCAAATATTTCTTCTGTATCTAAACTTTTGCAAATTTTAAACAAATTCTGAATATTATTTCCATGTGTTTTTGTCATTTGAATCGACGTGGTTATACGTTTCCCATAAGAACACATGTTAATTCAGTGCAAATTAAAATCCTTATAACATGTGAACGCTTTAGTGCATCGATTTAAAAATTGTACTGAAGATTCTAAACATATGTAAGGACATTCTGTACAATTTTCATTAAATTCTCAATATTTTGAAAATAGGTACAAAACATCCTTAATCGAAATGATCAACTTTTGGCAGAGAATTTCGCCTTGTGACAGATACATGGCTAACTTCATCGAATTATATTTAATATCTTTTTAACCAGTTAGTACTTGTATAATATTATTTGACCAAATATTTCTTCTGTATCTAAACTTTTGCAAATTTTAAACAAATTCTGAATATTATTTCCATGTGTTTTTGTCATTTGAATCGACGTGGTTATACGTTTCCCATAAGAACACATGTTAATTCGGTGCAAATTAAAATCCTTATAACATGTGAACGCTTTAGTGCATCGATTTAAAAATTGTACTGAAGATTCTAAACATATGTAAGGACATTGTGTACAATTTTCGTTAAATTCTCAATATTTTGCAAATTGGTACAAAACATCCTTAATAAGAGATGAAGAAAATTAATTGAATTTAAATATCTCATTTAAATTATACGAAGAACGTTGAAACATTCCGCGAATATTATTCAGAGAAAAAATAATATACCGATCTTTATTTATTAGAGAGATTTATTAAAATGTATTAACATTTTTTTTTGTCGTCTATTTTATAAGCATTAAAGACATTCTTTCTATTATACTTTTCCCTTCCATTTTTATGGTTTATTTAATAAAGTTGTTTGGACGATTATATATATTACGGCAGTTTTATAATGTCTATTGATTGCTTTGTGAACGATACTTTGAATATTGCAGTTTTATCTTCTGTTTAACAAGAAACCGATTGCTTGTAACAGTGATAATGTTAGGTAAGCTCGACGGTGAAAGCAGGAAGGAGGAAGAGACTAGAGTACAACAGAATACCTTGAGTTTGTATCGTGTCGCGGATTATTAGATTATTATGTCATGTTTAATTTAATCCGCGATCGGCGTAACGTATGAAATGATTGAAAGCGTAAACACGTTCGCGTTTAGACGAGAGTCTAATCATCTTTCTTTAGAAGACTTGAAGAATAACCCTAATTACCTCTACAATACGCGATACGCGGGTAATTTCGTAATTACATTTTAATTGTTAATGAATAATTAACGATTATACCGTAACCGCGATTATAATCTTAATTATTATGACTTTGACCGCCGCGCGTTTCTCTCGAATTTAGAGCCCTTTCGAGAAATCCGCGATTAAGTGACCTCGTTCCATGAAAGAAACTAATTG